GAATAAAAAATTGTACGGCGGAAAATGTACTAAAAACAGCGGTTACTCGTTCCCGATTCCGAGATTTTATTTTGACGCAGGGTAAAATACTCCAATGCAGAAATTTGTTTTGAATGTAAATAACGTGGCGGTTCTGAAAAAAAAAATCACGTCGAGTAGGACAGGTAACGTAGACAGGAACAGTCGACACGTTTACCTCTCAAAAAGCCTATCGTCGGCTCAATAAAATAGTCAGCTGTTGCTTTCGTTATTGCCAACCCTCTAAAAATACATGTAGCTTCGAGCTTCGACTCTTCTCGTTGCAACTCTGAATCAACTATAGGAACTTCTTATCTAATTTTAACGCAAAACACTGTCCACGCAGGCTGAGTCCCGCGAAGTAAGAGAGATCGCGTGGCCTTGACGATTGTGAAATTTGGATCAAGTCTCGTAAACGCGTCGAGATCGAGTTTACGAGAAAATTTCTCGATTAGTCGATACACCGACCGTAAACGATTGTATAACTCGCGTAACGTTAATGGAATACCCTCTTTCACTTTCGATCAACAACCAAATGTTTACAGATTTCTGTCAGACCTTCCACAACGTCGATGTAAACGTTCGGATCACGTTCGAGAAAATCGTGAATTTCGACTCGAGAGAGACAGTTTTCGGGAATGTTCCCGGAACAATCTCTCTTCATGAGCGATCGATATTTTGAACGGCAATTTTTCATTTTCAGCGAAGAGATTACTTACTGACGTATCTCCTATTCGCAAGATCCGCGAATGAAAAGAGTGCCGTGATCGTTCAACCGGAACCCGAAGCCTCCGGGACAAACTTGTTTCAGAAGTGAAAGCTCAAAGGTAAAAGTTCGTTAACCAAGAATTTCTGAAAAACCACAACATTTCAAAAGCCGATCGGGCGTAAGAACGAGGTGAGCTTTTCGTAGAACACGACGGCCACGGTGTACCGAAAATAATCCACGTGCCATCGCGCCATTTTTGCACGTACGACCGCGTCAGAATTTTTCGAAAAATAAACTAAAATCATACATGATGTCCGTCGTGAAGAACAATACCCGTTCGAATTCGATCTGACCTGTTATTCGACTATCGTCGAGGAAGCAATAAGCAAGAAAATTAATTTTTCTCGATGCGGGTAGACGGAGAGGAAGCAAAGAGGAGTAACGAAGGCCGGAGACACGCCGTCTGATCTCAAACGGCTGTTACTACTTATCGCATTCCCATCTCGTGGCACGGTTACTCCACTTTCCGAGGGCAATGAAGCCGAACAACGTCCAACGACTGTCGCACTTTCGCGTTTCTCGTTACGCGAACGTACCGTTGTATTTTTGACAATGACGCGGCTGCGAAGCCTCCATTCTAGCCATCTGCTTCTGGTTCAGCGACAACGGTGTGCAAAAAGAAAAATAAAAGCAGACACGTGAGATCGCGTTACGCGAAGGTCGTGACGTCAATGAGGAGAAGAAGAGAATTAGGAAAGATTGGCGAACGTGAAATCTTTAAAGTTCAAACTTTTCTCACTGCTGTTACCAGTTTCCCTTTACAACTAAACTTCGGCGAAACGCAGACATAAAACCCGTGACACGATTTCTAGCTTCCTAATGGCTGTGTATAAGAGAAGACACGTTAGATGCTGTTCACACTTGGAGGTTATTACTTATAAGTGACAGTAATACCGTCTCATTTCCTGGCTGCTCCACTTTGCCAGAGCAAAGTGACCAGTAGCCTCGACACAATGCGACCGATTTACCAAAGTCGATTTAACGAAACGTTACTTTTCGCCTGCACGACCTTATGGACAGCGATTTGCGGACACGTAGATATCAAAAATAATATTTTCTACCAACGTGACATACTTCGTTCATTGAAGAACAACCGACTCTGTTAGGTAGACACGGTTCGTCGATGACTAATGCTACTATGTCGCGGACCATACCACTGTTTACAAACGACAAATAACGATAACAGGAAGGATATTCCACTTTTATGTCGAGATCCCAATCCCTAGATCCTTCATCGAGGAACGCCATTATGCTTTACAAACGTTGGAGCGAGAACGAAGCTTACGCTTCGAAATGACCGATAACAGCGTTTTGTAGAAGTAATTAATTACGGAAGCTCGAACAACATTACGAATCGAAAGGAAATATCTCGAGTTCTTTGGAGTCCGCAGGTGGATACCGCGATCGTCTGCCGAACTGTAACGAGATTAAGCTCGTAGATGATTATTTAAGGTCGGCGACGTCTTAACGGCTTTATTAGTCTTCTTTCAATAATCATAACTGAATCGTTAATCACTATAGCGGCCTCGGTCCACCGTTCCGGTTGAAACTATTAATCTCGTTGTTACGTCGAGGTTATCGCGTCTGTATTTCAAATGATTTTACGCCAAAATTATGTACTTTTCTCTGTAGCCATTTCCCTATTTCTGTGGACGATATCAGCAAGACTGTACTACGAGATCGAGCAACTAATGCGATTTATGTGCCCAGAGACATCTATAAATACTTTAAACGCTCGAACGTATACGTAGTATCTGCGGCTTATTAATTTCGTGTCGCGAACGGAATAAATGGACAGCATCTAGATCAACGCACCTAGATCAACGCACCTAGATCAAAATAAAAAATCAACGGATTCGCTTTCGTGCAACAAGATGTTTTCGTTAAGTCGTTAATCCTCACAACGATATACAGTCTCGTTAACCTTAATCATCGTTAAAGCGACGTGGCTAATGTGTACTTGATATCGCATTTGCATGCAATTAGAATTTAGTTAATATATTTCTTCAGAAATTCATGCGTACTCGTGACGGGAGATGAACACGACGATAACGAGTACCTTTCGGACTATTATTTGGCTACTTCGAGAACGAGACTACGTCTAACGCATATTTATAGAAGATGATAATTCGTGCGTGATGTTCTCGCAAGAACCCGCTATGCGTCACGATAATACCACGATAGTTACTTAACTCCGTTAACATGAAAATACCTCGAAAATCGAGTTGCGAGTAGGTTTTCTCGGGCAATTTCGCGAGAGAGCGGCGGGATCGTGAAAAATTAGCGATATAATTCGACTCGAACGAGGTAGTGACAATTTCGCATGAGCAAGCACGATTTAACGTAAAATAGATAAAACGAGACGACGATGGTCCAAATAAATTTTCATTCCAATTCACCACGGGACGATGCGCCGTGTACGAGGAATAATTCGGAAATATTTTCTATAAAAGTTCCATACAGCCGGTGAAACAATTCTAGTCTATTTCATATTTCATAAATCACCGCGTAAAACTTAAAACACTCTCTATACTTCCCACGGCAGCGACTCGTTTTATCTTTTATTTTTCTCGCAAAAGCCGAATGTCGAGTTCTTGCTCACCATTGTCTAGATGTAATTCTTATTGTTGGATGAATTATACAAACTTTCCTCGATTAATATCCCAGAAATAAAAATAAATCGAGAAATCTTTTTAAAATCTAAAAATTAAAAATCAGGAAATTAGATCTATCAGTGATAAATTTGTTAAATTACAAATGCGGAAATTGTACGTGCGATTATTTAAACGATTCGCTGCTGGAAATAATTTATCCGGAATAAGATATAGGAAGTTCACCAGAACCGAAACTTCATGGCGCCACTTGTCTCCTGAAAAGTTTAATTAAGGACGTAAACGTTGCGAATGAAACTTTCGTTCGTGTAACACATTCGCAAGAAAAATACAGCCAAGTTAAATTTCTTAGATGGCTTCAACTCTCGCTTCGAAAACTTTTCTCGTTCCCTTTTTCCTTTTTCTTCTTTATTTATTTATTGTTTTTCCTTTCAACCAAAGATAGAAAGTTTGTTTGTTTTCGTGATAATCGTTCGAACTTTATTCTACGCATCGGAATAAATACTACTGCGAAATTGCGTGGAAATTGTTTGAAACGAATCGCAATCGACGCTTTCGAATTTAAACGGCATTTGACAGCTTCCATTGAAAACAACGATACATCGATGGTTGAATCAATGTAGTGTCAAAGAGGGAAACTATGCTTGCCTATGTACGAAATCAACGACGCGGAAATTAGGAAAGGACAAATTAACGATTGGTTGAAATGTGCTAACCAATGCTTGAAACAACGTAAATAGCACCGAAGCGATCGTTCCATCAAATTAACAATGATATTTTGTTCTCTTCTCGTTCCAAGATCTTAAATTTACTAATGAATATACAACGATTAATGCTTTTGTTAAATTTGTTACATTTTTTACTATTATTACACAGTGATAATTCGCACGAAGAAAAATATTCGTCATCTACATTATTTATAAATACTTCTAAGATTTCTGACTTACGGAGGCTAGTAGCGTCGTAGCTTCTTAATCCGATCGGCCTTCTCGGTATACAATGGCAAGCAAGCGTTGAAACTCTCTCAGCGCAGAACACGGCTTCGTTCTCACTCTCATTACATTTTTATAGTTCATTAACGTTCATTCGTTACATTGCACTGTGGATGTCAAAAAGTTATTATCGGTTAACGTATCGCTCGAGAGGCACGGAATCACTGAATCACAGGTTGCGAACATCGCTCGCGTATACATACCCTCCTTTCCATATGTGTACTGTTTACCGAATAAGGTCGAAATTAATATCTACACTTTGACTATAGCTCCACGATATAGATATTGTTCTTACGTAGGAAGAGGTCGGCATACTTTCCGACAATTCAATGATCATCCAACGACGGAACACTTTGAGCGCCGTTTTTGAATGTTTCGTTATAATGAACACGGAATACAGTTTGCGATACGTGCCGCATTGTCTTTCGAAGAGATACATAAGGCGACACTCCCGATCTCTAGCGGCACTTATTAGAATTTTATATCCGTTCTGCAGAACAATAATACGAGTATATATTGATACTCGTTAAATTTAATCCATTGAATAAAAATGTCTGAGAAAGTACATTTTCATATATTTTACATTTCTTTTCTTTTTTTTGATTACAGATTTCTAAACATAAATCCTAAAGGAAAAAGAAAGACGAATTACCGATTATTGCGATATTATTAAAACACGTTGCAGATGTACATACGAAAACTTTCCGAAGATTTGTTCAAGACCAATCGGATTGCATTGAACTTGGTAGTATTTGAAAAGTTACAAGAACGAAACGAAGGAAGATAGCGATTTCGGTAAAATCTTCGATATGTTGCCAAAACTATCAGTTCTCGGCTCTCACAAAGTTAAAAGGTAGTGAGAGTCGAATCGAAATGTAATATAACGAATTAAATAACCTCTCAAAAAACATTGAAACAATAAAATCATGCACTACAGAATTGAATCATACACAGATTTAAACTGTTCGAAGTAATGAAAATAAATTCATTCCTGAGTAAATTTTTGACTGACAGGAAACTCTGCAACGATTAAACGAGAAATCAGCTGAATCGTAAAAGAACTGATGCGTATAAACGCGATAACGACTAATATTAAGGAAGAATAAGAAATGGTAACGTGAAATTGAAACACGAAGGAGAATATTAATGAAGAATCGTATGAAAAGAGAAAACGAAAGTAGTTGGAAACGATGGAAACAAGCCTCGAAGTTTTGAACAACACCAGTTACTACGATGCTGGTCAATTATTGGGAAATTTATCGATCAACGAGAGCACGGAAAAACCACACGAATGTAAACAAGAAATCAATTCGAATGGTTTCTTTGATTTTGTCATTTATGGCGTGCTAGTGAACTTGGTCGGTCTTTTTGGGATAATAGGTAATACGATCTCGATGATTATTCTCTCAAGACCGCAAATGAAATCATCGATCAACTACTTGTTAATTGGCTTAGCTAGATGCGACACTATGTTAATTATCATTTCGGTAAGTATGTTTATTAATTATAGTGTTCGAAGGATCAGAGTCACTTTTATATTTTACACGAAATTTGCTGAACGCTGAACTTGAAACTTCTAAAAATTTATGTTGGCATTATCTTCTAGATATGAGAGTGTAGCTTAAAAGGGCTAGCTAAACTAGAGTTGTAAATTGCAGCCATTTACTATGAAAACCACTTATATGGAAAATACAGAATTCTTTGTGCAATAGAATATACGAACGTTCCGTCATCGCGAATTTATTACTGTCGCCCGGTCTCTTAGGAGCAAAGTTACCTCGATGCACGCAACAACAAACCTTTGTTAATTTATTGGTCTAATCGAATGAAGATGCAGGAACGTTATTCGTTCCATTAAACTCAAGCAAAACAAACCTGTATGAAAATTCTCTTGTACATTTATCACCTCCTCGAGAACTTTCCACCCCCAATAAAGATTCCTAGAAATCATCGCGATACGCAAACTGTAATAATTTCGAAGTCAATATCAAGATATTTAAATAGTTACGTACTACAATTTTTAATACAAAGTATATGTACATTTCGTCTTCATTACTTCATAGAGAGTCCATTTTCATCATACTCTAAGTTCCTTTTAATATAGCGCTTGAACAACAAGCGGAAAAAGATAATATAAATAACAAAATGTTTATGACATTTTCAGATATTGATTTATGGCTTACCTGCAATTTACACATACACTAGATTGCTATTCAACTACAAGTTCATCGTCTATCCGAAAATAGTCCGATTCTTATATCCATTATCTTGCATGGCACAAATAGCAGCAGTGTATTTGACTCTAACCGTGACGTTAGAGAGATATATCGCGGTATGTCATCCCTTAAAAGCTAAGTCTTTTTGTACATACGGACGAGCTCAATTAGCTGTATTGGTCATCGTGATATTTTCCTTTATTTACAATCTACCCAAGTGAGTAGGCTTATCATTCGTTTGGCTTAAGCTTAACCGACACTGCTGAAAAACACATTTATTGTGTCTTTTATATAGGTTTTGGGAGGTAGATTATTACACGGAGGTTCACTGGAAGTACAACGTTACTGTATACTGCCTGTACCCGGCAGATTTGAGAGACAACAACTTATATGTCACCATTTATGTCCACTGGATGTATTTCTTTATTTGCTATCTTTTTCCTTTCCTTGCTTTGGTGATTTTCAACGCGGCCATCTATCGAAGGGTAAGAAAAATAAATCATTTCCCAAGAATCAGGGAAAAAAACGAAATCTTCCAGGAAAACATGATGAATGATTTTTATCTCCTGCTTTTTGTAGCGACAACAAAGTAACCATTGAATACTTTGTCGTTTTTCTTTATTTCGTTTTTATGCATTTTCCTACATTTGTTCCATATTCTATAATACGATATGGCCATTCGTTTTTCATTATCTTCGTAACT